TCACTCTTCTGAAACACAATTCAGCTTTTTCCAGATAACTAAAAGATTCCTCTAGAAGCGCTCTGGGTTAAATAAGTGAAAAGCTCCTCAACAGTAGAATTGCTGCCTGGTTTTCCAGCTCTCAGATCCAGACTGGATTAATTTCAAAACACATTTTAAGGGTTTTCTTTGTTACCAAGGTTTTTTTCCCAGACAGGGTGAGCTGAATGTGGTATGACATTCTTGACTCTGTTCTCCAGTTATTTTTTAGAAACAACAGAAGATATTTAAGTCATCTGAAATTTGATAAATGCTTTTTAATTAAATGAAATAAGTAAATCAGAGCCTGTTGCCATGGTGAGTGAATGTGATGTCACAGGCTCCAGCATCTTAGTTTCAGGGCAGAATTGAAAAAGAAAAGCAATATAGAAGATGCAGAACTGTAAACATCTATTTTAAGGCGAATGGGGTTGATATTCAGCCCAAAATATGGAACAGAAAAATGATTTTTCTATTCAAAAAAGAGTGAAATTAAGAGGTGACTTGTAAAGCTGTCTCAAATATTATGAAAGAAGAATGTTCTTAAAATTCTGTAGTATTATAGGGCCTCACTGCAAAACTTTATAAATGATATGTATAAAGACAGTAAGGCAAAGGTAAAGGTTCCCCTTGACAAATTGTCCAGTCGTGTCCGACTCTAGGGGGCGGTGCTCATCCCCATTTAAGGCTGTTCTGTTTTCGTCTTTAAACAGCATTTGATGATTGTGTAGCATATGCATCCTTTGAGTCTTTTTGACATGTTTTCAAATGTTTCACCACTTCATAGTGAAACCACTTTTTAGGTCACAGGCATTTCCTTGGCAGCAACAGCTCCATGCTTTGGGGGGGGGTGTTGGGAAGACATTCCCACTGTGTGGCCCCCATATCTCTAAATCCCTTCACCCTTATCATGGTTGCAACTTTCCAATTACTTTCCTTCTAGGTCCAAAATCTGCAATTCCTTCCAGAGGCAAATAATGATGAAGGGTACTTGTCTGCCCCACTCTTCACACTCATGTTTGCTCATGTGCCCATTTGGTGAATCTACTACAGGGGCAGACAGATAGCAAAGCCTATGAAGCTTTCTACACCTTGAAGCTGGTGCTAGCGCCTCACAAAAAACTATGAAAAATATGAATTGTTCTGTTTTCAAAAGAAGAGGTCTGCCATGAAGCCCCCTCTGGATGAAATTTTGTTCCTTAGCATAGTAAGTCACAAGAAGATTAGGCCCACTGAACTAATAGAATTGATGGAGGAGTTGATTCTTCAAATTCCCACTGGTTGAATGGGCCTACTCTAAGTTCTGACTTACTGCACTAAGCAACAGGAATTTCAGTCACAGAATAAGATCTCCACAGTGTGAGAGTTCGAATGTAGCCTCAGTCTTCTTCTCAACAGAAGATGTTTTAAACTGAAATCCAAACTAGTATTTATTTCGTTATTCAACGGTAAAACTTCTTTCATCTCTTGCGGTGCCAACGGGCGCTGGAAGGGCAACCAAAGATCAGAGTCAAAGGGGTTCAGGGACTTAACCTCCCACGGTCCTGGTAAGAATGGGTCATAACATGGGATAGCTTCTTCTTCTTTTCATTTCTTAATAATGGTAACGTCTCTTCGTCTCCATCCTCTCTCCAGAGTGGGTTCCCCTCTCTCTCGAAGGGTCCCCATGGTCCTCCATGCCTCCTCCACACACCATGCCCGACGTTCCTCCGCTTCCCGGGCCACTGCTTCCTTTTCTTCCCTTAACCTCCTCCTCCACTCTCTCGCCTCAAATTCTTCCCAGTATGATGGCCACTGGGAAGCTTCTTCTCCAGCGATAATCTGCTTCTTCCTGTGGGACTTTTATCTTTTCCCATTTCCCTGTCCACTGGTCTTCCACCCAGATGAGTTCCCAACCCCCCCCCCCAGTATACCATCACACTCTCTTTTTATAACTCCTATTCCCACCTCTACTACGGACCTCCCCCGCTCTTCTCTTCCCGCCAATTCTCCTTCTGTCTGAGTCGCCACGGTCAGACTCCACAGGTTTGCTTCCAGTTCCTGGGTATCTGTTCCCTGGTGTACACTTTCTCAAGGGGTTGACGGAGGAGTGGTCTGCATCTCTTTAGATATCTTACAGGTGGACAGCACTCCCACAAGAGTTTCTGTGCTCTCCTCTCACCTGTCACACATAGGTTGCAGTACAGTACTTTCCGTTCTTATTCCAAACAATCAATATAATATAAGTTGTACTAGTCAAAACATTTAATATCAAGCTACCCCTGTAAGGCCAGTAGAGTTTTTTTTAAAACAAATGTTGTTTTCAGTACCAGAAATAGATACCTGAGCAGGAGCCCATCCCAGGCATGACTATGCAAAAGTAGACCCCACTTTGAAGCCAGAACACATTTTTCAGTAGCTTGTGCATAGGAAGAGTAATGGCCTTCTAGATGCTGTTAAACATCAACTCTCATCAGTTCTAACTTACTAGCACACCCAGTGGTCTGGTATGCTGGGACATGGTAGTATACTGATACATGGAAGGCCATTGTATGGAACAGGCTAGCTCGGTTTCCCATCCTAAATCCATAGGATTTCAGCACAAAGCAAATGCCATCTTCTAGATACACCTTTCACATGGCATAAAAATGTCAGAATTTTCCCCAATTAGTTCAAGTGCATAGTGCAGTCAGATTATTTTGATTATATACACAAAAGATATAACTAAACTAATTGACAGAATTAATGTTTGTTTCTAAATACATTTTAATTCTGCCCGCAGTACATCAGATTAGCAACTAACCTACTATTCCCAGGACTCCCCATTTTCAAACATCTGAAAGCTAGTGTTTTCATCTCAAAACACAGCTTTTAATTATACTATATATTCTCACCTCCAACCCAGTGGCTGTTGCAAAAGGTCTAAAGGGAACCAAAGTACTGTATAGAGAAATTCTAATAACTTTACATGAAATAATAATACAAAATGCATTATATTATAGGACATTTTTATGAACATACATCTCTTACCAGCTCTATATAGAAAGCTACCAGGCTTTTAGTCACAGCAATTTTCCCCCATACAAGGTCTTTACAACAAGATTGTCAGGTCAGATTTTGAGATATTACTTTAAAGCTACAGTGACTTCTAGTCTGAGATCAAGATACTGTATATAATTTTATACCCCATGGAAGTGTGATTTTCTAGAGCAGTGGTGGATGGATGATGATGGCTGCAACTCACAGAACTCTTTATAGTGGCTAGGACTGCTGGTTGCAGAGCGCACCATCCTTGTTCTACTGCTTAGGACAAATCCACAACCATTTCCTCAGCAGAAGCCCATATCATCATAGCTAAACATAATGTCTCCATCAAGAGCCATAGGCACACCATTGACATTCTCCAAGCTGCCCTTTGGCCTTTTCTTTACTATGTTTCCTTCCAGTGAATTCAGTAACTTTCTCTAAACAACCAATCCTCATCAAAAGATAACTCAATACATGTTTATTTAGCTTATTCCTCAAAGTTTCATACCACCCTGAAGGTACTTAATCAACCTTTGGTGAGCTGCTAAGTAATTTTGGAAACAACTCACACAGCCATGGCTTCTAGCTTTTGTCAACAGTTTTGAAAAGCATCACTATCTTACAGGTTTCTTTTCACCCAAATATGTTACTGCTCAGAGAGGTAAAAGGCAACATTCAGAGAACTATATTTAAGACTGGGTGGGATATGTTTGGCCCACCAAATGTTGAAGCCCAGCTCCCATTAGCTTCCACTAGTATGCCCAGTGAGCAGAGTGGAGTTGCAGTCAAACAAAATCTGGAATTTCCCCCACTAGTTTTGAATACTATATACAAAACCACCAAGCAAAGAAGATTCCAACCTCGAAAACAAACCTACACTTTTAATGGGACCTTTTCTGCCCTAGTAGGTACCAAAATATTACAGAATTTCACATGGATAATGGTGTACCCTTGTCTTCAACCCTCTTTGGGAGATTGCTAATACTGTAGTATCATAACTGGCAAAGATTCAGGCAATGATATTGTCGCAGATGAAAACCATCACAGAAGAAAGGGGAAAAAAAGATCTTCCTGCATAGCCTTCAACAACCAGCCTACCTTCCTCCTTCAGTGTTGGGGAGGGGGAGAGGCAAGAGTTTCCCCACCTTCTCCCACATACTGTGGGCCCGGGTCCGAGAAGACTCCGGTTCTAAGAAGACTGAAGCAAAGACCTGCTCCCAAGGGTGAAAAGCTTGAATTGCGCCCTTCACACTTGAAAAGAAGGACGGTTGCTAAAAAATGTGAAACGTGAACTCCACAGAGCCTTTTCCCCACAAACCTCGTCCCTCCCTTCAATAACACAACGGGCTGGTCTTTCAGTCCCTCCCAAAGGGAAAGGGCTCAAGTTACACTTGGGGAATTCTCAAGATTCACCATCACCATCATTATCATTATTCTCCCCAGTCCCCTTTTATCTCACATACAACCGCGTGAATAGTTGCTTTTTAATCTGTCAAAATTCATGGAGAAGTCCATTTCCAAGGTCTACAAAGAGGGCTTCTACAAAAAGAGAACTCGTGCTCTGAACAGGGTTCCCAGTTGCAAAGCTTATCCCTCACCCCAGGCGTTGCTTTTATATTTGCTCCAAGTGTGTTCTTCTGATTAATTTGCCCTTTCTCGAGCGTTTTCTCCTACGAGGAATTGAAACCGAGGTGTTTCGCGATGGGGAAGTTTCACCACACAGATCAAGAGGTGACGAATAATGCCGGCGCCCCTCTACTTAAACGTTGGGGCTTTTAAAAAAACCACCTACAAAGAAACAACGCGGGAAATCAAGCAACAACGACAGCAACGGACTAGGTTCCTTCTCTTTTGTCAAGCCTCCCCCTGAGCATATCAGCCATCTGGCAAAGGAGCAAACCCCGCTCCCCAACCCCAGGTGGTGGGGTCTGAAAGGATTATCTTTAAAGATCTACCTTCCACAAGGAGAGTCTTACCTTGAGATGCTTCCTTACTGTCCCATCTTAGCGCCTTTGTATGTATGTATGTTTGTGTGTGTGTGTGTATGTATGTATGGGGGGGGCTGTGTTTTCATGTAAGAGATTATTATGTCACACAAAAAAGAAAATGGTTAGAAACCGTGTCAAGTCATGTGATTGACGGAATTATTCCCACCCCTCCTTCTCTCTCTCTCTCTAGCCCCCTCTTCTCCTTGTGCTTTTAGGACAATATGTACTCCTTTTGCCTGTACTCAATGTGTCAGGCCAAACTGGCTGATGACAGAGAGGAAGAGCGCGGCTGCCGTGGCGAGGGCTTGGCGCACTCTCTCTTTCTGCACTGCTGCTGGGGCTTGGAGAGGATGGAGCCCGGAGGCACGAGAAATGTTGATTGGGGTCTGGCATCTCACAGTGATGCCTTGAAAAGTAGGAGGGCAATCCTCCCTGATTCCAGTCTCTCTCTCTTCCCCCTTTCCAGGTCTTTGCTTCCTTCTCTCTTTTCTTTGCCTCCCCACCCCACCCGACCCGACCCGCTTTTACGGCTTCTCGAGGTCTTTGCACAGCGCGGACCTTGAGCTGAGTCCTCGGTTGCAGCGGGAAAGCGGGCGCGCCCCGCTCTTCCTTTCAGCACGGCTGTGTAGGTTGGAACTGACGGATTACTGTGCAGGGTGCATTTTTTTGTTCCGTCAGCCCTACCTGTCCGTTAAGTTCAGATCTCGAGCTGGTTCCTGTAACTACAGCAAAGGCACTAACCGCCTTCCTTTTCCGCGGATCCCAATTGCCGCTTCTCTCCGGACGTACGACTGCAGGCTCAGTTGTAGGATTAGGAAGGTGAACCCACTCCGCATCCCAAAGTGACCTTTAGGCTGTCCCAAATCTTATGACCATGGTTTCAGGAAGAGATGGCCGCCTGGGAGGCTCCCTCGCAACGTGCTGTGCCCAAACACCGGTTTGGGTGCAAATCGACCTGTGTGCCAGATTAGAAATCCTAAACAGGGAATCAACCAAACAGGAACTAATTGGAACAAGCCTAGAGGTGGGCACTCCAATTTATAGCATCCACGCTACCGAGAAATGGTCCTCTGATCAAGCCCAACTTTAAAGCATTTAGTGGTTAACATTAAGTTTACTTGGAAAAGTAAACATCTTCCTAATAGATGTTTAATAAATTTAAGACAAGTGTGAAAACAGATATGGTCATATCTGCACCACAAATCAACCTTCTGGTTGATACGGACTCTGCTTGGTGGGAAATCATAACAAGCTGTGTGGGGATCAAGGGGGCAAAAATAGTCCAGGTGACAGTCTGACAGTATAAGCAGAACCCCATTGTGAAAGCAGTACCTGAAAACATTTTTCTCGAAACCACCTATTATATCCAGGAAGGCATGTAATGTTTTAAGCCAGAGATTCTGAAGGCTGCCAAATGTCAACATATGACATAAGAGATCCATAATAAGGTAGATCCAAGTGATACTGTGCATTTCCCATATAAGGTGAATGGTAGCTTGTGCAAACTGCTTTAGATGGGGTGGGTTGTACAAGAAAGGATTTAGTCATTCTTTCATTCTATTACTGTCCTCATTAAATTATGTATTGCTGTTTCATTGTGTTTAGTGGATTTTTTAAAAAACAAGGAGATTCTGATAATGATTTCCTGTATTACATCTAGTCCTAATGTACAGCCATTTCTTATAGCTCATGAGACTGGTATAAGGGCACTCAGAGGGTGATCAGAGGAGCATATAGCTCGCCGTTTGATTTCCTTTTGGTGCAGTTTGGTTTGCCCTTTTTTCTGATAACCATATGTGTTTTCAGTAAGAGCAGTCCATCCCACTCCATTTGCAAATGGTCCTGTTATTTTCTGGCACAATGCTAGGGCTGCAGTTTATTTCCTACAAATAGGAGTACTGTTCTGTTGGTTAATTTGCACTCAAATAGAGCTGTGGGCAGTGTTATTTGAGGTAACAACCCGTTGACATATTCAATGGTTGTGACATTAGAATGGGGGACAGAAAAAAAAACCCTCGGGTTTTGGTACAATATGAATGATATATATACCATGCTAGGCTGATACATTGCTGTAGCACTGTGTCCCTTAGTTTATTTAACAAAAAATGGAAATTCCCATGGCCCATGGAATGATAGCCAGGAAAAAAGGCAGGGAAGGTGGTCATAGGGGTGTCAATAATTGAAAGGGGATCAAGTTGGAGCAATCCAAAAAGCTGTCTAGATCCTTCTCAAAGGAAGAAAAACATATCCTGTGCGAATGGAAAGATCACTCAAGTGGAATATAAAATTGTTGTTAAGTCGTGTCTGACTCTTTGTGACCCCATGGACCAGAGCATGCCAGGCCCTTCTGTCGTCCACTGCCTCCCGGGATTTGGTCATATTCTGATAAAATAAGATAAAATAGAGCACATCAAATATAAGAACCTTTTAAGTGCAAACAGATCACTCCAACTCCCCCTGTCTGGTTGTGCCCTCAACTCATTTGTCTGTGTGTGTGTTTTTGTCTGGTTTTGGTGTACTTTTTGCTTCTCAGAGGTGAACTAATCCAGTGATTCTCAAGCCTGGGTCTCCAGATATTCTTGGACTGCAACTCACAGAAATCCTGGCCAGCACAGCAAGTGGTGAAGGCATCTGGGAATTTTAGTCCAAGAACATCTGGGGACCCCAGTTTGAGAACCACTGAACTAACCTAATAGACGGAAGATCTGATGCAGGACTTCTTGGAAACCCAGTTATGATATTTTATTATACTGTGTACAGTGAAGTAGAGAATGCTGTTGGACAGTTGAGTAGAAATTATTTTAGCTTAATTTAAAGGATGTCAGTGTTTATATTCTAGTTTTATTTATTGATTCTTACTCTTTGTGCTTTGAACCTTTGCTCATTTAATATGATGTGGACTGCTGGAAGCCATCTTAAGAGGGGTTTTTTTTAACTTTCAAATGTGTTATGTAACCCTTAAAATATAAATGATATAGTGTATTTGGCCACAAGAACCTGGCACATAATAATTTATTGCAGTCCATAGATCAAATATGTGCATATCCTGTATTGTTTTATTTGCCCTAAAAAGGAGGATAGAGCACAAAATTAGATCAGGGGTGTTTTCAAAATCAGGGTAGGGCATTTTGAAAACCTGCTGTTGTACTTTGTTACACCTGGGCTTGCAGGTAATTTTTCAAAATGGAAGATTCAAATCCATAAGATTTAAATTGACTAGAATAACAGTTGCATTACTTTTGTTTTTCTAAATGTGAACTGGAGAGTGATCCCCAGGTAGGTCCTTCAAGGAAATCTTTTTATAAAACCCAAGAAATTCTGACAGCTAGGGGCCCCTACATGTACCTGTACTTGATTGTGTACTGATGGAATGAGCATTTTTCCCACGGTTCAAATGACATAAGGCTAATCTGCAAAAGCCACCTATTACAAGTCTTTGCTTTGTTCTAGGATAGTTTTCAGGGAGCAAGAGCTTCTTGAGTCAGAAGCTTTCAGTGCTGGCACTAATCTATTAATAAACAAAAACAAATCCAGCACAGATCATTGTCCACCCCTTTTTTTTTAAGCAAGTGATTTTCAAAAGTTTAGCACTGGGATTAAGTGCTGCCTAAAAGTATATTAGAAACTGAGAGTGCTAACCTGTTGCAGTCTTTTGGTAATCCAGAACAGATTATTCTTAAAGCATTTTCTTGAAATTTTAAATATATTTTCCAACCATTTTTTAAGAAGACTCTGATTTCTTTTAAAAAATGAGAAATGGAATTTCAGGAAATAAGTGTGGACAAAAACTCTGGTAGGATCTCTGTGCTCATTTTGCTCCAAGCAGCACTTGCTGCCACAAAGAAGGCAGGAACGAGTGCTCTGTCTGGATAAGCCCTTTGTCTTTTTGAAAAGTAATTAATATACTGTATATTATTATGTCTGGGCAGAAGAAGCAGACAATATTCCTCATACAAGATCCCATACGCTACATGTTTCCAGAAAACAAGCAGGGAAATATAAATTAAAAGCAGAAGGTGAGTTTAAGCCTCCTTAATATAGCTAGGTAAAAGGTGTTATTAGATACCCATAGTGGAAGGAGTGACAAATTAGGACTCAGAAGGCCTGAATTCAAATCTCCTCTCAGCTATGGAAACTCATTGCAGGTATGGAATTGGTAAAGCTGTTCCTTAAATATTTCACTTACCTTAAACTAATGATCAAACATATTCTTAATAAATTTAATACCGGTAAATCTTCTGAAAGCCACCAGAGAAGATATTCTGTGGATATGTGGATATCTTTATGCCTAAATGTCAACTTTGCTGTTACAACTGTGGGAATTTATACCTGTAGACTGATTAATACCTTTTTAGAGAATAAAATAAAAGTGTCATTTCCCAACAGTTTGAATGCTACAAAAGTTACAAGTTGCCTACTATGTGGCAATTTGGTACAGACAGAGTAGATTTGTGATAGCTGCACAATTACTAAACAATTACTCCTCCACAATATCTCCAGAGTCCCTGTGTATCAACAAAGATTCTGAATCCTCTTTATAAAATGTGTCTGCCACCTTTCTACTTTGGTAATCAGCACATAATACTGTAATAATACAGTAACATGGACCAATTTCAATTAAAACTTGAAAATAAATTAATTTAAAACAAAGTGTGTGTGTGTGTGTGTGTGGAGGTATCCACCTTCTTCAATGAACTAACTTGACTGTGAAAGGCCTATTTGAATAAAAAAAATTATTGCTGGCAGAAGAATGACGACAGAACAGCCAACATACTTTTCCTTGGCTGGAAGTATGAGAGGCTTGGAACAGCCACAGAGAAGGCCCGCTTCTCAGAATTTTATTTTCTACTTCTGTGTCGTATGCAACATCAAAAACTTCGTGGCTGGTGAAGGAGACTCTGCAAAACATGCCTAAATCCCTGTGTCCTGCACTCCATCACCAGTACAACTGTCTTTCTTCCCTCTTCTATGTATCCTTCAGTGTTATTTGAAACCAGTTCTTCTTCTGAAGTAGATTTCTGAGGTGTATAGGAGGGAACATCACTCTCCAATTCTGAAAAAAGCAATTTTATCAGTAGTGGCTGCCCCTCACTGGATCCTGGCCAAGACAAGTTATTTTGAAGCTTTATCTACACAGAGGTGTGCATTGAACCCTTTTTACTTCTGTGGGCTTGGCGTAGTATGGTAAGGAGAAGACTGACAGCCATTTAAAGGGACTTTGTTAGTAGCTATGCTCATGCGATGGTTGAAGCATACAATTTCTCTGTATGATTCTGAAATAAGTACACCTGTTCCATCCCTCTCCATCCCTCCCCTAAATATATCCATATTTTATCTGAGCCCCAAATATCTTGGTGGTATGAAATATGGAGAACATGTTTTATTTCTGACAGTACATCCCCTGAATAAATTCTCTGGTGTTTTAGAATGACATATGGTGAATCTTTTGTTTGTATCCAAATACAGTAAGCAAAATTGCATTTTGGGAATCAGCACTACAGATCACCAAGTTGATTGTATTTACAGGAGACTAAACATAACATTCTAATGGTGCAAAAAGTTGTACAGTACAAGGTTTTGGCAGAGGAAAAGACCTGCAGACAAGATAGCCAATGAGTACCAAGGGCACCACCTGGTGGCTTAAACTTGGATAAGTCTTTTTAAATCTATTTCCCTCTCAGTTGTTTGTGGATTATATTATTGTGGGAGTGCAAGGACAAAATTTGCAATCAACCTCTAGGGCTTCTCTTCAGATTTTAGAATTTGCTTAGTAGAGTTTAGCCAGTGGGGCTTTGCTGTCTCTCAGTTTCATACCTAATGTTTTCATTGTGAAAAACATCAACCATAATAGTAAGTGTTTATTTGCTGGTCTTTCAAATCATGTGATTTCAAGTGCTCTGTCCGAAAAATAGGCACATTTAACAAAAATTCATTAGTTTAAGTATTTTTATCCTGCTCCTCAGCTGAACAGGATCCTATGCCAGCAAAGGTAAGATCAAACAAGACAATTGTCTCTACAAACATACAGTGTGTTTTTTTTTTAAATTAAAGTTAAATGTTGATTACTATTTTTAGGAGAAATCAACCAAGGGTTATAATTTGGTTATCCCTGTTACCCCAGTTAATTTGTGGTGACTGAAAAACAAAAAATTATTTTCCTTGGCCAACAGGCACAAACCACTGTTTGGAAGAGGGGTTTCTTGTTTTATTTTAGTTTGAAAGTGTCATAAGATAATAGTCTTTAAGACCATTCCACTTTAAACATAAACACCTCTTGTGACCATAACAGTTGAGTCACAAAATGCAGTATACTGTCTAAAAGTGAAAGAAATTGGCAGGTCAGCTTTAATTTATTGTATTTATAGATGTCTAGGTGAAATGATTTTGAAACTTAAATCTGAAACATTTTTGCACAAGCTATTTTATTGATTACTTATACTGTACTAGGTTAGCCGATATATGTGTTTGAACAGGGGTTTTTTCCTTATAAAGGAAGACTTCCTGAAAATATTTCAATATATTCTATCATTTGTGAGATTATATCCCATTACAGCTTTTCCCACTTTTTTGTTGACTATGATGGCTACTCCATTCCATCTACGGGATTCTTGCCCACAATCGTGGATATGATAATCATTTGAATTGAATTCGCCCATCCCTGTCCATTTTAGTTCACTGCCGCCCAGGATGTCAAGGTTTATTCTTGCCATCTCCTGTTTGACCACATCCAACTTCCCAAGGTTCATAGATCTTACATTCCAGGTTCCTATGCAGTATTTTTCTTTGCAGCATTTGACTTTCATTTCACTTCCAGGCATGTCCGCAGCTGAGCGTCCTTTCGGCTTTGGCCCAACCACTTCATTAGCTCTGGAGCTACTTGTACTGTTCCTCTGCTCTTCCTCAGTAGCATGTTGGACGCCTTTCGACCTGAAGGGCCTATTTTCCAGTGTCATATCTTTTAGCCTTTTGTTTCTGTTCATGGGGTATTCTTGGCAAAGCTATTGGAGTGGCTTGCCAATTCCTCCTCCAGGTGGCTTGTGTTTAGTCGGAACTCTCCACTATGACCTGTCAGTCTTGGGTGTCCCTGCATGGCATAGCGCATAGCTTCTCTGAGTTACTCAAGCCTCTTCACCACAAGGCAGCAATCCATGAAGAGGACTACCAACCTTTTATTCCATAGCCACCATTTTTAGCCTTGTATAATACTGGTTTTGAGTTCAATTTGATTAATATGTTTTGGCTGTTTTATGCTCTTTGATTGCTGTGAACCACCCAGAATAGCCATCAGTCAGATGGTTGGTATATAAATCAATCAATCAAATAAACAAACAAACAAACAAACAAACAAACAAACAAACAAACAAATTAATTAATTAATTAATTAAGAAAGGTACCTTTGTGGTAAAAATTCCAAAAACCAGGCTTCATTTTTATTTTTTATTTATAAAAAGCATAACAAAACATAAAACAATACAAAATCTAAGAAGAAACTAATAACACAGAATTTCAAACAGTTGTATCAAAAGTGCTCCAGCAGTCAATTCTCCTCCCTTCATGGAGTTGCATTCTGCTTCCAAAATTGTAATGAGTGTTCTGAAAGTGTGCTTCCCATCCTCTTTATTAACACAAAATCAGATTCTCCCCAAGTGTTTACAAAAGTATACTTTTTAAACAATTCCTTCTTTAATATTACACATTAGCTTATCATTAATATATTCCATGCTTCTTTATACCATTTGTTTAATTGAAATCATACTTTATTTTTCAATTCTCAACAATCATTAATCTTCCTGTTTTATTTCCTCTTTATTCCCCATCTTTTCTATGCAATGTTTTATTCTAATAATTTGTTTATCTCTTAATAAATTCTCCAAAATTCTTAAATTTGCTTGAAAATTCTCCATCACTGGGTGTAGTGGAGAAATTGTTGGACTGAGTATTTTTCTATACTTATTCCAAATTAATAACATAGTTTTAAAGAAGGGGCATTCAATTTCTTTAGCTCTACTCTTAAGACTGTCCAAAGGAATCTTCTCAAAATTCAAACTTAATTCTGATGATTCCATATCCCACCATATTCTTTTATTGGAGGTAATTTTCCATGTACAAAACAAGGCCTCATAATATTTTCATTTGTCTAAGGAAAGTAATGCCCAGCCTTTTTTTGTACAAGGATTGCATTACTATTTTCTCTTACATGTAATACATATATACTTCTTGAATTTCACAGTGGTACAATATACTGTTAGTGGAGATTTAGTTGTAAGTACTGTTCTAGACATTAAAAAAAAGCAAAGCATGCTGCTTATATACTGCCCCATAGTGCTTCAAGCACTCTCTGGGCAGTTTACTATTTAATTATGCAGGGTGTACATTGCCCCCCCCCCCAGCATGATGGGTACTCAGTTTACCAATTTTGAAAGGATGGAAGGCTGAGTAACCTTGAGCTGAATACCTGGAATTGAACCCTGGTTGTGAGCAGAGTTTAACAACTGCACCATGAAGTTCCTAAATGAACTTCCTCTAGAACTGACGTTACAGATAATTTTGACAAGCTGAAAAGATTCCAGGTTTTCTACCAAATCTTCCACCTGGTTTCACATTGTCATGTTGTTGTTGTTGTTGTTGTTGTTGTTGTTGTTGTTGTTGTTGTTGTTGTTGTTGTTGTTGTTGTTGTTGTTGTTGTTGTTGTTGTTGTTTCATTAGCTGGTTCAGTTTACCTGAAAGAAATAATGTCACAGAGATGGATTTGGTAGGCTGAGTAGGAACAATATTGGGCTGTTCCAGGTGCATTTGCAGGTTACTGTTCTGTCACAAAATCGGTGAATCATTTTGCTTCTACCACAGTGTGCTTGTGTCATGTGTAATGACTGTAGGAGTCCAGATAGTTGCTTTGAACTGAAGGAATACAGAATTGTGTAGTGCAATCTTTTTCATTAGATGTTCTCATACAAATCTGTGATATTGTTCTCATAGATGTCTTGGATTCCTCCTTGTGTTTCCTGCTGGCACATCTAGATTTTATAAAAACAAAAAGAAATTTAAATTCACTATGTGGATCATAACCTGCCTGCACATAGTGATAAAGATTATTTATATGAAATAGGAGTCCTCATAAAAATATAATCTTTGCCACAACCATCAATAGGGATGTTGACAATGAGAATTTTTCTGCTCGATTTGTTTCAGGTTCTTTGGTGAGACTGGTTGTTTTGTTTTCATGTCTTTTGTGTTCCTGTCCTTTTCTTAAACACAGAAGGGACCAGTTCATTTCAGTTCTTTCACTTTGTTTTTCCCCATTTGTATTCCACCTGGTGGTAGTCAAAAAGCCCTGAAGAATCTATTAAAACTACGTGAAAAGGGAATAAGACAAAAGACCACCATCTATTGCAAAAAAAGCCAACAACAGTGCATAAGAAAGAGTACTTTATATTATTATCATATTCTTCACTAATTAATTCATCATTAGACAACATTACAAATGTGAAAGAAAATACATCATCACCACCAGATCTTTGTAGGTAGTACCACAACTCTACCACATTCTTCTTTATCATAATCATCATCATTATCAATTATCATAGCAGCATGGTTTCTTGGCACTGTGGCAAGGAAAATGCCCCTCTGCATCAGCTATTCTCCAGCCTCCTGGGCCAAAATTCTGAGTGTACTGTAAACTCCACCAAACTCATGGACATCCATTCTCCTCAAGCTTGGGTAAAGCCAATACAACTTTCTACTTGCTGCCTTCAGGAAGTAGGCGATGAGGGCAGTACACGAGGGGTCAGGATGGCCATCTCTGGAGTAGGATGATCAACAGGATAACATTTGTCCCTGGCACTGCCATCCCAATGCCAGGGGCAGAGTCTTGATGTCCCCACACAGCTCCCTGGGCCACCTTGGTAAATGTTCCCCTCAACATTTAGTCTAGTCGTGTCTGACTCTAGGGGGCAGTGCTCATCCCCATTTCCAAGCCATAGAGCTAGCATTTGTCCGAAGAAAGTTTCCGTGGTTATATGGCCAGTGTGACCCAGACCACACAGAATAGCAAACTCCTATCTGCTATAGAAATATTTACTCCTCCCATGCAAGGTCATTTTACCAGCACCACCATTACCATCATGAACACCACAGGCCTACCACTTATTGTCTCTCCTTAACCCTGACCAATACCGTTCACAGGTTGTGCCGAGTATACTAACTCATATACCACTAGCCTGACTTATAGCACAGCCCTAGGAACTAGCTTGCTCAGCTAGCCAGCAGCTCTCACCCGCTTAGGCAGCCAATTCAGTGCCTAACAACCAGGCACCCACCCAGATAATCTGGAAAGAGTGGAGAGAATTCAGAAAAATTCTAAGCCCAGAAGATTGATGACAATAACCATGCCTGCTAGGTGTCTCTTTCCACCACACAAAACGGAGAAAGCTGCCGACCCGCAATGCACAGAGGCCACCCAAAGATGTTCCACCAGCCAAGAAGATGCCTATCCCACCATCCCCAGTGCTTGATGGCTTAAAAGCAACCAGCTGCTAATCTAAGAGCAAGGACCATATCCCACTCCCAAGGACTTCTAGAAGCCTCCAATCCGTGAAAATCCAAGGGCAGGCTGTTTTAGCTGGTCTGCATTGTTATAGAAATCATGTGCTATACTGAATGTGTTCACACAATAAGCAATACACCTCATAAATACTGTTCTTTATACTTTAGCCAATGATAAAAATCACTAATTTTTAAAAAATTTGTTTTATTCCAAATAGGTTTGTATTTCTAATAGAATATTTTATTCAGAAATAGTCTCCTGCAGTGGAGTTCTCTGTTGGGGATAAAATTACAAATAAATGCATAATAATAAACATAAAATATGACATCCTTTAAAACAACTGTACAATATGATAAATATTTATCAGCTACGCCGTGACCAGCATCTTGAGTACACGTTAACAATTTTTTAAAATTAAAGTTTAGCCATCGGATTGTGCAACACCTTACCATACGAGACCATGTTGGGTTCCTCCACTACCCCTTGCACAACAACTTGCTCAACAAAAACTATTGGATACTGTGGCGGACTGCCCAAGTCACGCCCGTGCGTCATATGGAGCTCTAGGGCAGGAGCCTATGGCAGGACAGGAGGGGTGGAGTCAAGAGAACACACACAGAGGACACTGGGGGAATGCAACAGATACCATCCTTGCACTAACTCTGAAGATGTATACTATAGATTACACATTTGTTTATATGTTTAATATAGTTCAGTAGTGTACTTTAGTTTTTAAAATGTTCAGAGCCCCAGTTGTCAATTTTTTCAGTTTAACTCTTCTGTTTATGTTAACCTTATCAAATGACAATTAAACAATTTTTTTCTTCTGATAGATGTAGAAATCTCAACCAGGTTTATGCCTTTCTGTGAACATGGCAACAACCAGCAAGAACAACACAGGTGCTCCCTTTTGCTCTGATGTGTGTGCTGTAGAACCCATTTCTGTACATGTTTTTGTGAAGTAGAAACAGCCACATGTTTCTAATTCACAGATACATTTTTGTGATTGTGCTGAGCTGCAGTTAACTCTGCATCTGTTAGTTCCAGAAACAACCAGCATCCAAATTGGCCCCAAGAGCAATACATACATAATCTGGAAATTAAGCAGCTGGCATTCCAATTGGTCTCATTGCGAGCAATGCTATGGCAACGTTTATATATTTTCAGAGCCAAATATAGAAGTGGGACACCAGAAAAATGATACTAAACCCTAAATAGTCTTCTTTCTAACTTGATATGAAGAATTATCTTCTAATGAAATAAGTTTCATTTTGGAAGAAATTAAATAGAGTAGGTTCTGATTATTCATGTGGTCTAATATATGAAAAGTATATTGCTTATTAAAAGTATAGTATTAGACCATTAGTTAATGCTGTGAATGTTAGTGTGAGGAGGACGACAGGAAGAACCAGGTTCCTGTTGGCACGGCATTATGCCTCTCCCCAGGGATAATGGAGTTCATAACTTCAAATTTACCTGTTGATGGGGGATGGGGGGACTTTGACTGTCCCTGAAGAAATAAAAGCCGTTAAAGAAACAGAATAAGGAGTTGTGCCAGGGAAGGGAGAATATGCAGAGTGAAGGGCAACCCTTAGAGGACAAAAGGAGGAAGAAGATTTAAAGCAGGAAGAAAATCTGGGAAAAGAAGAGGGACCAGATGAGGTGTTGGATGGAAGGACTGATAGCAGAGGCACAGTTAATTAATGGAAGGACAGAGGAAGTGAAATTATTATTTCTGCCTGTGCTAAACCATCACTGATGCACTGAGTTACTTAGATTATATTTTAAAAAAATTATTTGCCTTTGGTTAGTGCCTATTGAGAAACTGCCTGCTGCCAGTTTCAATTGTTACTTCACACGAAGGCAAAGAAAGAAAATTAAATTTAATCTAAGTGATTCAGGGCAACAGCAATGGTCTAGCAGAGTAAAAAAAAATTCCCTATCCCTCTGCAGAGGAGCAGGAGAAGTGTTAAATTTGCCAACATCCTGAAATGGCTTGCATATTAAGCCACTTCACAATGCTGGAAACTGACACTGGAAGGAGCTTTGGCAGGTTAGACAACTACAAGGCTTGATTTCAGTCCATTCCCAGCAATGGCAAGCACTAGGAACAGACTATACTAGAGCACACTAGCCCACAGCAGTTGGTCTGCTCTAGTGATTACTTCTCCATTCTGAAGGAAATCAACCCTGAGTGCTCTCTGGAAGGACAGATCCTGAAGCTGAGGCTCCAATACTTTGGCCATCTCATGAGAAGAGAAGACTCCCTGGAAAAGACGCTGATGTTGGGAAAGTGGGAAGGCAAGAGAAGAAGGGGACGACAGAGGACGAGATGGTTGGACAGTGTCAATGAAGTGACCAACATGAATTTGACCAAACTCCGTGGACGACAGGAGGGCCTGGTGTGCTCTGGTCCATGGGGCCATGAAGAGTCGGACACAACTTAACGACTAAACAAGAAGAAGTGATTACTTCATGTGGCTGCCAGAAAAAAGAGCAAACCAACCCACTCCTGCCATGCCAGTCTATCACTCAACAAAGAAGCATCCAGTGTCTTTTTGCAGAAGTATAGCCAGGTTCTATGAACAGAGATCTCCACTTGAATACTGGCACCATGGGTGAGAGCAGGAGATCGTGCAATACTGTGTCAGCTGAGTGTTACATTTTACTAGTATCCAAAAGTATCTTAGACACTGTATGCTAATCTATCACAGGACAATCAAACGTAAACACTTTTCTATCACCACATTTATTTGCCAGAGCAAGGAGAGATTATTGATTATCCTGATGCACCAATAGATAATGTCACTTCTCCTGCTCGAAGAAATACCCCAGAGCGCCAGTCCCTCAGGTTCCCTCACTGCTACAACTGAGAGCACAGTATTTTCTATAACAGCGGCTAATCTGAGAAAGAACCCTCCACAGAGCAAAGTTCAAAATGCCTCTTACCTTCGCTATAGGCATCTTTTTATGTGATGGGCTATTTGCATTTTTCTCAAAGGTCAAATAGATGTGAGATGGATGGGGTTCTAAATCCTGAAGAGGGAGAAATTAAGAGAAAGTATATGTCTTCTTTGTACAATATTTAAGCCGTAAATACAAATTAAATCATTTCCAGCAATGCTTTTATTGTAAAAATTAGGGATCCCGTTCACACGCATATATATATATATATATAGTCTCTCATATAATAACATTCTTGTAGAACAGAGCAAAATCCATTCATAGCCATAGTTCTAGATGGGATTTTGTGAAGATTATCAAATTTAGAAATTACGTACATGATTCATGAGATCAGTTTTGCAAGACCATCCTGCAAGAACAGCAGACACTTCTTCCCATCAGTACTCAGAATAAGTGCTTCCATGATAATTGAGGGGTAAGGTAAAGGGAAAGGTTCCCCTTGACAGTCCAGTTGCGTCCAACTCCAGGGCACGGTGCTCATCCCCGTTTCCAAGCCATAGAGCCAGCGTTTGTCCAAAGACAGTTTCCGTGGTTATGTGGCCAGCGCGACTAGACATGGAATGTCGTTATCTTCCCACCAAGGTGGTACCTATTTATCTACTCGCATTTTTACATGCTTTCAAACTGCTAGGTTGGCAGGGGCTGGGACAAGCGATGGGAGCTCACTCCATCATGTGGATTCGATCTTACAACTGCTGGTCTTCTGACCTTGCAGCACAGAGGCTTCTGCAGTTTAACCCGCAGCGCCACTACGTCCCTAATTTAGGGGTACTTGTAGGTAAATCTATATGGGATTACTTTCTAAATTATTTACACTCTCCGAAGTTTGGCAGACTAGGTTGCTGTAATGGGAAGTAAACAGAATATACTATTTCATGCCTTAATGTTTGCTACTGCCAACGGGCAATAGTAATACCACCACATGTAGATCGACACCATGATATCTGCAGACATACTGGAGACTCCGTTAGAACTATTTGCCAGCAAAGACAGTTCTCCAAATACCTGCAGATTTTAAATGATTCATTTATGCTGATACAAAGGCGCAACTAACTAGCAGCACAGTCCTATACATGTTCATGCAAAAGTAAATGCAACTTTCCAGTAAGCTTCACTTCTTGTAAATTTTTAGGTCAAGGATAATGGTTTAGATAAAAAAGCCAATAACAGATAAATTGTTTTCTTTCTTTCTTTTCTTTTTCTTTCATTCATTCATTCATTCATTCATTCATTCTTTCTTTCTTTCTTTCTTTCTTTCTTTCTTTCTTTCTTTCTTTCTTTCTTTCTTTCTTTCTTTCTTTCTTTCTTTCTTTCTTTCTTTCTTTCTTTCTTTCTTTTTGCAGAATCCTGCACAAAACTGCACTTTAGCAAAAAGCTGAATTCCTGTGTTTTCTCTTTGTAAGGCAATAACTATGGGTAGATCTCAGATTCCTCCTATTTATCATGATGGAGACCTAGAGACTAAGAGAGAGAAAGCAGAGCTGCTCTTTCCATTCCCAGGAAGAAAAAAATTAACCAAGAAATAGTATGTTTCCAATAACTTCTTTCAATTAGAGCAATTTGTTCCCAAGCTACAGCTGTTCTCTGAGTATAGAGAAGTAGAAACTACTGTAAGTCTGAAAATGACCAGATGCAGAAAGATAAACATCTTGTCACTAAAAACGTATGTCAGAGTTATTGATGGTAAAAATTCTATCTCATGTCCCCCAAATTACAGAGAAGAGGACTTTTCCTTGCATGTTTATGGCAACTGGGTAGGTTGCCGTGGTCATGGTGGCTGTTCCCTGGCAACAGGAAGATGACAGGATTGTTAGCAAGAAGGACTGACAGGCGGCATTAACAATAGCGCTGGAAATATTCAGAATCAGAACAGAGCATCAAATCAGCAATACCACGAAAATAAAAGAGCAAGTGGTCATAGTCTCAGTTTCTTACTGTTTATTTCAATCCAAAATGTGGCCCAGCCTTTCCCTTCCTACTGTGACTGCAGTATCAAGAGTAGAAGAGGAAGAAGATTGCAAAGCAACAATACATAAAGAGAACCAAGCACAACCGTCAGCAGAGTTTGGACTTGAGGAGCTGGTTTAATAACTTGATGAAGCCTTCATCATGGATACTCATGTCACCCCAGCAGGCAGTGTCCTACTTTAGCAAAGTTGTTCCTGACTTTGAAAGGTTGCCCAGTCCAAGCCCAAATGTAATTTTCTACATAAAATTATAGCAATGATTTCTACATATGCATCTCTATATATACATTAGTATAAACCATATGCTAATCAGTGTTCTTTTTGTTGGCAATGCCTGCGTTCCTATTCACTCTGCACAGAGTGAAGTTTTTCAGACACAGAATTTGTTCCACCTTAAGATCCAGGTGGTACACTGATCTTACTGGAAATTTCCCTTATATCCACACAACATTCCTTTTTATCTTTCTTCATATTATTTTTGTCTCCATGAGTTCCTGCATCTTCACCTGCCCCTGAAACCCCATTTACTTCTTGTAACATTTTTGTCGTGGGACAGAATTTAGCACTATGGCACTTCCCATATGCAGTGATAAATATGGTGGGAGCATTCTGGTCTGGTATTTTTGTCAGACTAGCACTACAGTTATGCTACCAGACTGCATGAGTGGAAGAAAAAAGAAGTGAAAGTTGACAAAATCATTCCACAGGCAGGAAGATGCTGAATGACAGAGGAAGAAGAGGTGGAGAAGGAATCAGAGACTAAGGACTCAGTCATGGTTGCCAAAAGAACCCCAGTTATACCGTTTTTGCCATTATTGGATTGTTTCAAAATTTCCTGTGCACACAATGCACATCTAACATTGATTCATTTGCCCTGGCAATTGGTTTATTTCCTCCTCACTGGGACAGTTGTTTTAAAATGTGCTGGTTATGTATTGCATCTTTCCTTATGAGTGAATGTTGCTGTTGATTTATTTCTATTGCGAAATGGTCAGGTTTTTGGGTGCTTGTACCTTTAAAAATATTTTTAAAATTGATATTGACAAATCACTAATAATAGCCACTACAGCTATAAAAACAACATGTATGCATTGCTCAGAAGGAGACAGCCTTCCCTTAGCCAGTTAAAAAATAAATAGTCATATTGGAGACAGTTAAAGCTGCAATTACTCACAGTGTACATAGGGTCAGGAAGTTCTAAGTGGCTCGAAGCATGTTGAGTCACTGGATTCTGATCTGGGCACTTCTTGACACGGCTTTTCCAAGGCCACACCATCTTTTCATGAGAATTGAATAAATGGGAGGAAATAGCTCCAAATTAGAACAATGTTCACAAGACCCATTTTCCTCTACTTTAATTCCTTCCCTCCTAAGTTGTTCCACATATTTCAGTGGGATAAGAGGCGATTTTTCAGATCTATGTGTACTGTGTGTCTTACAGAAAGCATCAATGAAGGCATTCCAGTGTTCTATTATCCATTCCACTCATCACAAATGTGAGTGACAGCCATGTCCAGCTTATGGGGCTGGCACTGTCTATATCTTTACTTTTATATCAATATATTTATTTATTGAAAATATTTTACTCCACCTTTCTCCTTAAAAGGACCCAAGGTGGATTACAACAATTAAAAACAATGTTTAAAAGCTAAAAATTCTGAGTATACAAATATTTTAAAAGAATCAAACAAGTATATTAAAAATCGTCAATAAAATAATAGTAAAAACACATTTAAAAAAACACAGAGCTACAACCCATAAAAAAACACTTCTCAGGCTGCCAGTCACTAAGAAAAAGCCTACCTGAAAAGAAAAGTCACTAAGGAAAAGCCTATCTGAAGAGAAAGGTTCAACCTCCCCATGTGATCATTTATGTTTAATAGATATGATAAGCCTGCCATGTCTACTCTCTCAGAGAAACAGTGTTCTCTTCCAGAGAACAGTGACCTATAGACATTGTCCTGGATCTCCCACCCACAGAAAAAGGAGAATGTGAACACTTACAATCTCAGCAAAGAACACAAAAATCATGTATTTCTTATCACTGCTCAAACAACAACAAACACCTAATCAGAATAGATTCTAAGTACAGTAGAATGGCAAGCTTAAATAACTGACTCAGAATGTTATAAATGGATTCCTGATAACAAGCATAATTGCCTTGACATAGATGGAAACGCATCTGCAAAGATGGTGCTTGTTGTGACATACAGACCTCATGCAAGCACTAACCTGCTCATGTGAAGGGCTAAAAGCATGAGACTTAAGCAAACATGCAAGATACATGTATGCTTACATACATTGGAACATCCACACAAACCTAGGATGTAAGCTATATATTTGTGCATTAAGCCCAAGATCTGCAGAGGGTTTTGTGATAATGCTAGCCTGGATGCAATTATGGAGCTCTCATAATTGGGAACTCTTAAACACACAGCCCCAAACAAGCAGCATAACTATGTTCAGCTTAACATGGTTAAAAACACATCAGCAAAATGTTAAAATGCAATACAGCACTCAATACAGAAATGTTCATGATGCTACTATTTTCATGGAAATGTTCAGGAACAGAGGTTTAATGTACACCCACATCCCTACCCTACATGTGGTTCAGGTAAACACCATCTAAAAAGAAAGCTTTCCCTCCGTCCCCCTTCAAAAATATTATTTGGATCCAGGATCTGTCTCCTGTGGATATAAAGATTCCAATTGTGGAAAACACCATACGCACATACGGTTCATCCCTTATGCAGGCTCACCCAGCCCTCTTTGTAGCTTTTTCAAGGAACTGGAGTTGTTTCCATGGGGAAAAGAGGAAAAGGAAATCCATTTCTTCTCAGTCTAGTTGCATGTGCCTACATCTGGGTCCAGCCCTATTAACTTCATTTACATGCAAATTTATGCAAAATTTCTTTATCAGTTCATTGACTTAATTGATTATTTTAATCAACTAAAATTAGTGAGATCCATCAACAAAGATTATGATGGCTTTCATCCTAACTGATGGGACAAATTGAAACATTCAGCACCAAACACAAGGTGAATGTTTATTCTGCAAACTTTTTGCATCTACTAGCATGCACAGCATGGAGTAAAGAAAGCAAAGAAAGAAAATGTTTTTTTTAACTTGCCTTTCTCTTCCAGAGCAGCAAGATTGTTCCCACAATGGTCAAAATAGCTAAAATAATGATAATAGTGATGAGAATCATCTGTAAAGTATCAGATGGTTCTATGTATCCTCTGTCTGAAAGAAAAGGAACAAGAAGAAAGTCAAATATCCAAATCTCAAGCAGAGTTTGGCTGCGGTCTCACTAGCAAAATTTTTCTTAGTTACTCTTCATGAATTTTGATCTTTTGTTTTTGGGTTCAGATGACACATGGGCCATTATTGATTCTTTTGTTCTTCCTCCATGTTATCTCCATATAAAATCTAGTCCGCTGGAAGGCTACTACTCTATTTGTTTCACATTTCATCATGCAGTAAAACCGACATTTCACTGAGTGTGTACTACTATATCAGTTCATTTCCTTTACATCTGACATGCGGTCCCACCTCCCATATCTGCTGTTGTTTGACTCCCTTAATTTTAAAAATTAAATTTTCAAATGGGGATGTCAGCACGTTGGTATGTTTATGACAAATATGGCTTGAAGTACTCAAGGAGGGCTTTTTTTAGCCTGCCACCCACAGCATGCTTCTAGATGGTGGTGCTAAGAAGGCAATGCGCTTTTGAGATATTCTCACAGCATGGGCAATTTACCGACACACTAATGTATCCACACAATTTTTTTAAAAAGGGGGAAGAGGGGCAGAGAAATGCACAGAAAATGAAGGGGAATATGTCTCGCTTGAGGGGTGTAGATAAATGTACTGCATCTAATTTACCCTTAAAAGGCAGAACAGTTAAAAAAACACATGAACCACTATTACAGATATATGCCACGTGACCACAGAAAGCAGAAGACATGAGAAAAAGGGGGGATTTCTTTTGTGTGAGTGCAGCCTTTGACAGCTAATGTTAGTTCTTTAAAAGTCTATAGCATTAACATTAATAAATGTGTTAGATGTAATGACAAGAAAATTCACAAGGAATCTAATAGGTACAACCATTTAGATTGACAGTGTTATTTAGGAGTAGGAGTAGTAGAAATCATTATCATAATCTAAGTTCAATAAATTTGAGAAGTCCTAGAACTGAGAGACCTCTAAAAACAGCAATACCCCCAAACTGATGAGTACTTCCGCTCATTTAATCCACCCACAATGTGAAAGATGTGGTTCTCTTTTTGTTGTCAAGATTTCTGCTCCCATCAGCTCTAGCTTACATAGCCAGTGCTAGAGGTTTATGAGAGCTGTAGTATAATAATAATATCTTATAAACTATGTTCCCCATCCCTGCTCTGTAGTGTCCCTCAAGCGCAGTCCAGTGGAAACATTAATGACTTCCTAGGTACTTCGACCTTCCCCCTCCAACTTATTTTTCCAGAAATTGCTATCAAGAGGCATATGGCCTCTGATGAGGAGAGTAACATGGAGCAATTATGAATAGTCAGCACTGATAGTCTTTGTTAGGAAACTACAAGGTTTGTAATAAGAGAAATTGACATATTGGCCTGGATGTGTAAAGGAAGTTGTTAATCAACCATATTGTACAGCTGTGCATAAAGCTAAGTCATGCTGACTAAGCAGAAGGCTGATGTAATTAATACGAGATCAGCTGAGATGAGTTAATGTTACCTAATTGGTCATATATACTATATAATGTACAGAAGAACACACATGTTGTGTGGAAAGTGTGCACACTCCTTCACGCATGCATGCAAGCACAAGGGGGTGTCCTGCCTTTCTCAGCTGGTGTGTGGGGTTAAAAAGGCTGGGGACTCCTGTTTATGCAGCTGAGTTGCCAAATTTCTGATTTGGGTTATCTGATACCAATTAGTTGCTATATACCTAGTTTTCTCCTGGAGCTGTCCGATTGTAATAGGTTTTCCTTGTATAAACAAGTCTCTCATTCTATACATTCCTCTCTCTTTCCATTGTTTAAATTTTGCATATTTATCTTGAAATTTAAATTTAGGGTGTTCTAATATAGGACATAATGGAGATATAGGGGGGAGCGAAGATTATCATATATTTCCTCCATATCCAGAGGTTATGGATTCCGTATTTGTTTCTCATTTTTCAAGATTCTTTCTTTATATAAATATATGTCCAATGACCTTCCTTGTTCTTATTTCTCCATTCTTGCCCATTCAGGAGTCTCGCAATCTTGTATAAGTTTGATTATTTGAGCCATTTGAAAAGCTTCATAATATTTTAGTAAATATGGTATCGCTAGCCCTCCATTTCTACTTCGGCCATACTTAATTGTGTTTATAAATCTCAGGGATTTACTTTTCCCTGCAATAAATATTTTCCAAAATGTTTTGCCATTGTTTTATGTTTCTAGTTTCCAATTGTAGAGGAATATTTTGAAATAGAAATAGAAGTTTTGGTAGGATATGAGCTTTTACTATTGCAATTCTTCCCAAAAATGTTAGATTTAATATTTTCCATTTTTTTTCCTTTATAGAACTAAATACTTTTTTATCGTTCCTATAGACTAGTTACCTTATATTTTTGTTATCCAAATCCCCAAATATTTGAAACTTGAATAACATAGGTCTAAACCTGTTCTTTTCTTGATTTCTTTTTCTTCTAGGATAGGAATATTTATGCATAGCAATTTAGATTTATCATAATAAATTTTTAATCCTGTACAACATTTGAATTCTTCCAGTATTTGTTTCAATGTTTCTATACTTTCCATTGCAGATTCTAGGAATAAAAGTATATCATCAGCATATAAATTAATTTTATGCTGTTTATTTCTAACCATTATTCCGCTAATATTAATATTTTTTTCTAATAAGTGCCACGAGTGGTTCTATGGCCAGTGCAAATATTAATGGAGACAATGGGTCTCCTTGTCTTGTTCCTCTATATAATTCAAGTTTTTCAGATTCAGTTCTGTTTATTATTATTGAATCCTTGCCTCTTCATATAGCTTTATTAGAACGTGGATAAATGTTCCACCCATATTCATTTTTTCTAATAATTTGAACATAAACTGCCATTCCATGTGGTCAAAAGCTTTGAGGGCATTTAATGAGAATATTGCTGCCTTCGGGTTTTTTCCTGATGCAACACATATAATATTTAATATCTTATGAATCACATCTGACATTTGTCTCCCTGGCATAAATCCGTATTGGTCTCCGTGAATATAATTTGTAATTAAGCTATTTACTCTTTGTGCAATGATAGATGAGAATATTTTGGATTCTGCTTCAAAACAGTAGTTTAAGACCAAACTGTCATCAGAGGGACCTTAAGAATATGTTTTTAAGTGTTTATTTCATTAAATGCCAGAAGATCCTCTTCTATTAAGTATTGCAGCTAATCTGACTTTTCAAGATTATGATCACTTTTCATTGATCGGGTTCTGGAGTGCTAGCTTCTGATGTTTCTTCCTAGTCTTCTTTCTCATCTGGTTAAATTGTGCCTGTCTTGTCCTTACTGATTTTTCAACCACTATTTCCAAATGTACCACACATAGCCAGCAATTCCAGTTAGTTGCCAATTTCTGATCCTCCTCACCAAACTCCTCACTAAATAACATATCTTAGATATTCACAAGATTTTATTTTACCGGTCATGTGACTACTGGTAGTTCTTCAGCAGATGCAAATCTAAAGAAAATCATGTTGAATTTCATTGAAATAAATAAGCTACATTAGCTGTTATTAATTCATGTCTCATATTCCAATATTTCAATAGTGTAGGTTTAGATTTGTGCTTTGACTTAATTGGATTTCGTCGGGCAAAATGTTGAGTGCTCACCACTTCCTGATGTAACTGGTGCCTTTGTTATACTGCTCTAACAGTTAAGTTTTTTTTTCTGATATTCAGCCTAAATCTGGCTTCCTGTAGCTTGAGCCCATTGTTACATGCCCACCTTTCTTTTTCCACTGACAAAGAATTTATTTCTCAAGCCTCAATAACTCATTTGACCAGAGATGATAATGGGACAGAAAATTCAGCCCTAAGAAATTTATTATGATATAAGCATTTATGGACTGGAGTCACTGATGAATTATGTCTCATTCTCTGAATTGAAGCGATTGCTTGTGTTCGTACAGTTTTCTTATTTTGCCACTTCCTAATTTTTCTGATTGTCACTTTGATTCTTACATTGTCTTTCTTTTATATATCATGCAACCAGGCTGTCCAGAAAGTTTATCACTACGCAACCCATCTGCTGAAAATATGCATGAATTGAAAAATAAATGAAACAATATTGTCTGGAAAAACCTATGTCATAATAAATGTGTTAGTTGAGGGTGCTTCAAGACTCTTTGTTGTAATTAGACACTATCTTTTTTAAATAAAAATATAATCTGTGCTCTTATAAAAGATACAAAAGCTCTAAATCCATTAATGAAAGACCTATCAGTCTAATTGTCATTCAACTTACCTCTAAAAAGTATAAATGTCCCATTTCCCCTTACTGTTGATGATTTCCATTTGACTTCACAGTAATAGGTGCCAGTAACAGAAGTATGGTCAATAGGTTCAATGCGAAGTCTGTAATTCTTTGTCCATGTTCTATTCACATTACACCCAGAAGGAATTTGTTGAGTATATAATTTGTGTTGTACAGTGATTTTGTTGCCTTCTTGGTCAATCCGATAATAATAAATTTCGAAGTCTGCATATTCAGGTTTACAAGCCATGGTAGCCGTGCAGTTTGTAATAATGGGTTCATTGCCAAAACCAATCTGGATTAAAGATTCGTCTTGTACATTAAGAGACCCTGCTAGATTTAAAAAATGTAATTATTAATTGCATTCTTTTGTTTTGTTTTTATAATAGTACCTAATATCGACAAAAACAGAACATTAAATGGGTGCTTTTATCTCTACCTCATAAAAAATTGGCCTGGATCTAGGAGGAGAGCAAATATTACAACATGTAAATTCATGAAGTATGAACAAGGTGGCAACAAACTGAGTAATTCATATAGTAAAATAGTATCGTTAACCTAGCCACCTGTCACTTTTCTTCTTACAGGCCAGAGTAGGGTATGGAAACACAGCTTCTATTTGTGCATTTACTGTACTTCTGACAGTGAGTAGAAAGTTAAGAGTGAAACAAAGCCTACTAACCTGAAAATAGATAATGGCAAGGTTTATTTGTGGATTAATATATGCATAAAAAGACTTTATTACCATGAAATGTTCAGCTTAACCGTCACTATTGTACATCCAATTTGCTTGTGCAAAGGGGCTAAAGTGTTGTTCTCATGTGGAAATGATACATGCTGACGAAAAGTGTGAATCAGCTTATTCTGTTGTCTTAATTCAGATACAGTACCACAAATTCAGTTGGATGTGTACTGATCACAAATCAGTCTGGAGCATGCCCAGTGAGATACAGCAGTACAAAGAGATAATTAAACAGACAATGATCTTTACTATAATTGACAGAGATTGTGCTGAATCACATGGGCTACTGCCTGAATTGAAATGGCAGATCTGCAGAGCTTTGAAATGTTCGCTGGAGGATTCAGTTTTCCAAAAAGTAACATTTCCAAGCTCTGCATATTTCAAACATTATGCAGAATCTGTTAGCAAATTACCATGCAAAATTATCCTCTGCGCAGCCACTGGCTTCCTTCTTCCTTCCCCCAACACTCTTCTGAAATTCTGGCTATGTGGAAAGCAATGGGCGGAAGTGGTGCAATAACTTAGCTTGCAGGAATATATTTATTACAGTCTGATGACAGAAAGGCAATGGGGATGAGAAGAGTATCTCAGACTGGCTGTTTGGTGCAGCCTGTCGTCTATTCTTATCTCACATACAAGATGCACTAAGCAGGTTGACGCTCAGCATGTGTATTTCCCAGTGTTTCATGAGGCTGTGTGATAATGAGATGTGAGTCCCAGAGGCTGACTTCCTGTATATTTGCATAGAATTATAGATTTATACTGTGACCCTATGCACCCTATCTCAGATGACGTGTCCTATGAGACATGCATAGGATTGAAGCCTTAAGTGTATAGGTATTGTACAGGACTGAACCCTTATATATAGAACTGAAAACTCATGAGGAACTGTTTCCCACCTCTACTCCCATCTGAAATGCTTAAGGTTCCCATTCTTTGTTTGTTTTTAAGTAAATAAGTAAATAAATAAGTAAATAATATTTTACCCCACCTTTTTCCTGAAAAGGACCCAAGGCAATTTACTGTAAGGTTTCAGTCCTATACATGCACCAGGCACCTTTCCCCACTTCTAGCAATAAAAATACAATAAAGTTGAACACCTAATTGTTTTGTGCCTTTCCATGATACTCTGCATCTGCTGTCTGAAGCGACTGCTTTATTCTGCTAGTCTTCACTTTCCCCAATGCGGTAGATTCCAGATACAGTAGTTTGGATTACAAATCCCCTCAAACCAAGCTAACATGGTCTATAGGATGACGGGAGTTTTAAGGTACCAAGCTGACAAAGGATAATGCATGCATGCACAAAAAGCACTATAGAAATACTGGATATTGTTTATGGCTAGGAAAGGTTCTTCAGGTTTTAAGGTGGCAAGGGGAAGGGGGGAGAGAAGGCCAGTCCCAAGATTCCACACTGGCAGGCATCCTAATAATTTTGTCATACTTAGCAGTTTAAAAAATTAGCACAGATTAGGAGGTTTGGCAGGTGGAAGACAGATGACTAAAAACAAGAGAAACACATACATATACATTAAGGGCCAGAAAGTTATCAACTGTTGAATTAAGAGACTAGTTAAAATACATTTACAACTTGAGAGAATGGAAGAATAGACAGAGAAAAGAGAATAACACTTTTTTCCTTTTTACCTTTGCATTGAAAAGTCCAGAGAAGCAAGATAAAGAAATACAGACCAAAGGCCATGGTAGTGCCTGAACAGAGATTTTTGGTGAAGAGCCTTCGGGTTTTAAGAAAAGGGGTTCTTCTTAAGAAATGGCTTCTCTCTCTCTCTTCCTGTTTCTTGAGGGAGGAGGGACAACTTTAGGAGGAACAGACAATATAGCAGTTTGTTCCCTCTTCACACATTTCTACTTCTTGAGCCATTTCTACTGAAGGGGCCCGGGAAGAGACCTACATAGGGCGTCAAATAAGATGCCTTCTTTTAGAAAAATTCCCTCCATGGTTTCCTTGGTCTTCATAGTTTTATCAGCTGGAACTTTTAGATGGTTCAGTGGCCTTAGCATTGCTATCTGATGGCTGGAAGACAAAGAGGGTGTCCACATTTATGTATAGATATGGATTATTGATGGCATGGTTTGGATCAGGAAAAAAATAACTTGTCTGTTGTGTTTCTACTTAGATCAAGCCATCCTTCCCCTTTAAGGGGAATGTTGTGCATCATTCTGGCCCAGTGGTACGGCATGCATTCTTTGTTTTGTTGCTCAGCCTGTTTTGATTGGAGATAGCAGCCTCCAGCAGCCTCAGCTTCCAACTGCTATCATGCTATTCACTACTAAAAATCTCCCCCAGCTGGTGACATCCTCAACTTCCTGCAGGCGGAACTATTCTAAGGGGAATTCAGCTATTGACCAACTGTAAGGTGGAGAGTCACTTTGGCAGTGTCCAGAAGGATGTACTGTCCGTCTCTCAAGTCATGAAAGAAGCAGAAAAGACAGGAGTCATTGAAAGTGGGTTGCAACAGCTGGAAATAAAAGAAGAGGGCGATAATCAGGCAGGAAAGGCGGAGAATAAAAAGGGGAAAGAGGAAGAGAGAGAAAGGCAGAAACGTATTGCGGAAAAGAGGAAAGAGAGGAGAGAAGAAAAGAGCTAGTGGAATTGATTCAGGAGGATCCCTGGACGGAAGAGTGGGTGGAATTTTGAGTTCCTCGTGAGTACGCAGAGAGAGAATGGAAAAGACAGATCTACAGAAAGCCACCTTATTGGGGCGAAACTGAGGAGAAGAAACAGAAGAAGGAATGTAGAGCTTGAATAAAAAGAAAGGAACAAAGAAGGGAACAACAGAGACGTATAGTGAACCCTGGGAAATCCCATGGGCCCAGCCCTTTCAGACCCCGGAGGAGACAGAACCCGGGCTTGCCAAGGAAGGAGCCTCAAGGGCGCTCAGCTTACCCTCCTCAGGGTTGAAGCCAATGGATAACACACCGAAAATGTCAGGCATCATTGATGGCCCGGACTGGCCATCTGGCAATTCTGGCAAATGCCAGAACGGCCGATGGTCAGAAGGGCCGATTCCTGCCTCAGTGCAGGGCCAGGCTGAGGCCCCCTCCCCAAAAGAGAGCGAACGAGTGATAGAGCGAAAGGGAGCCTTCCATAACATGTTGGACAATAAACCAGTTTTATTTGAAGGCTCTGGTCTATTGGCTACTTCTTTCAACAAACACACAGAAAGGGAAGTAAGAGACCAGCAAATAGATAACACTGCCCTGTACACTAAAAGTGCAATAAAAATGCTAGATTAATTATTATGGCATCTCAGAAATGCATCTCCCTGCTGATGGTGTTAATGAAAAAGATGTATGAAGTCGCTGCATTGTGTGTGTTATGTGCCAGCAAATCACATCTGAATTACATTTATTGTATGCTGTCAAGTCAATTTTAACTAATAGTGACATTTTGGGGGGTTTTCTAGATAAAGTGGTTTAACATTCCCTTCTTCTGGGAGTGCCCTACGACTGTGCACTTAGCCCTAAGTTGCTTAGGCTAGCTTTTCTGAAATACACCGTGGGGAATGGAATTCCCAGCCTCTGACTCTGTAGCCTAACTCTAAAATAATGATGGCATGGTTTGGATCAGGAAAAAAATAACTTGTCTGTTGTGTTTCTACTTAGATCAAGCCATCCTTCCCCTTTAAGGGGAATGTTGTGCATCATTCTGGCCCAGTGGTACGGCATGCATTCTTTGTTTTGTTGCTCAGCCTGTTTTGATTGGAGATAGCAGCCTCCAGCAGCCTCAGCTTCCAACTGCTATCATGCTATTCACTACTAAAAATCTCCCCCAGCTGGTGACATCCTCAACTTCCTGCAGGCGGAACTATTCTAAGGGGAATTCAGGTATTGACCAACTGTAAGGTGCAGAGTCACTTTGGCAGTGTCCAGAAGGATGTACTGTCCGTCTCTCAAGTCATGAAAGAAGCAGAAAAGACAGGAGTCATTGAAAGTGGGTTGCAACAGCTGGAAATAAAAGAAGAGGGCGATAATCAGGCAGGAAAGGCGGAGAATAAAAAGGGGAAAGAGGAAGAGAGAGAAAGGCAGAAACGTATTGCGGAAAAGAGGAAAGAGAGGAGAGAAGAAAAGAGCTAGTGGAATTGATTCAGGAGGATCCCTGGACGGAAGAGTGGGTGGAATTTTGAGTTCCTCGTGAGTACGCAGAAAGAGAATGGAAAAGACAGATCTACAGAAAGCCACCTTATTGGGGCGAAACTGAGGAGAAGAAACAGAAGAAGGAATGTAGAGCTTGAATAAAAAGAAAGGAACAAAGAAGGGAACAACAGAGACGTATAGTGAACCCTGGGAAATCCCATGGGCCCAGCCCTTTCAGACCCCGGAGGAGACAGAACCCGGGCTTGCCAAGGAAGGAGCCTCAAGGGCGCTCAGCTTACCCTCCTCAGGGTTGAAGCCAATGGATAACACACCGAAAATGTCAGGCAAACCGAAGTGGGCCCAAGAAGTTACTAGTTTTTCACCATTGTCTTATCATGGAGAGCTGCTCAGTTTTAACAAGGTTAAGACTTATGATTTGATGTTGAATTTTGAAACAGATAAGCCAATTACAAATGATACTGATAACATGTTGGACAATAAACCAGTTTTATTTGAAGGCTCTGGTCTATTGGCTACTTCTTTCAACAAACACACAGAAAGGGAAGTAAGAGACCAGCAAATAGATAACACTGCCCTGTACACTAAAAGTGCAATAAAAATGCTAGATTAATTATTATGGCATCTCAGAAATGCATTTCCCTGCTGATGGTGTTAATGAAAAAGATGTATGAAGTCGCTGCATTGTGTGTGTTATGTGCCAGCAAATCACATCTGAATTACATTTATTGTATGCTGTCAAGTCAATTTTAACTAATAGTGACATTTTGGGGGGTTTTCTAGATAAAGTGGTTTAACATTCCCTTCTTCTGGGAGTGCCCTACGACTGTGCACTTAGCCCTAAGTTGCTTAGGCTAGCTTTTCTGAAATACACCGTGGGGAATGGAATTCCCAGCCTCTGACTCTGTAGCCTAACTCTAAAATAAATTAGATATTTCAGTGGTGATTTTATCAGTGCCACCACCATCTAACTGAGTTTCTATGGTCAAGCAGGGAATCCAACCCAGGTCTCTTGCCCATCATTCTATCCATTTCAGGACATTTAATATCAATTGCTGCACTATATGAAAGTTAAAAGGTTTTGTTCAGAATAAATACTATTAAAATAGGATGATCAGTATTTGTTTTGTACACCTTCTGCAGGCAAATAACAGTATTTAATTAAAAGATTAAAAACAACCAATTTAATAATTGGGGGCAGTGCGGTGCTGGAACCCTAAAAACAGGTTTGGGAGGATTGAGCATCTTGGCTGGAAACTTGAACAAACAATCCAGAGTGCAACATGTTGTTGCAGGACCCACCTGTAAAACCACATTAATAAAAGGCTGCACTAGATCACTTTGTCCACTCCCGCTGATGAGGAAGTACCTTTGGCAGGTTTGGGGGCCAATTTTCTGCTCCCCAGGACTTTCTAAGAGGTACAAAAATACAAAACAAAAATAAAGAAACATGTAATCAGAATGGCTGGATGTCACTTCACAGTTTTGAAAAACATATTATTTTGGGGTGCTATATAGTGCAGAAAACTAACAGATTAGCTCAGTGGGTTGGAACACGCGGCTGTAGAGCCAAGGGCCAGGAATCCAGATTCCCACTGTGCCTCCCAGGAGAGAGGCCAGCTGAGATAATCTGGGGTTAAATGTGCAGCCAGGAGCAATCTGCATACTCCTAGAGCACCAGCAGAAACAGCTCATATTAAAATACATCAGTAAGTCTTTAAGGTGCCATAACATTTTTGTCTTCTTTATTTTTTTATTTTTCTTAAGTTTTGGCCTGATGTACCAGCACAGACTACCGTAACTTGGCTACCTCTTCTAAAACTACAACCATGGATGGCATATAATTATTATTGCACAATGTTAGGAAGTCTTGGAGTCTATTTAAATGTGATTTGTCACTCCTTAAAGTTTCCAGGTGCTAGAATCACTTGATTTGGTGTGCCATGGTGTGGTGCTAGAAAATGAGGAGATCAGAGGAAGGCTGTACTTTGCTTACCTGTGTTCTAGATGTTCCTGGGACTCCACCGTACATCTAGTCTTCAGGGATACTTGTGATCCAACTTGATAGCACATCATCATCGTCATCCAACTGATTAAAGGACCATTTATGGTTTGGGGGGGGGCAGTTAGTTACTGCAATTGACCTGTGGAATTTGGTGCAATCTGGTTGATGCTTAAAAGATCCTTATCTTCAGTGGAATCTATTTTAACTCTTGGTACCCATCTATGAAGACAAAACAAAGAACTGTTTTGCATATCAATTAATCATCCCCAAAAGACTTCATGCCCTAGCCCTGGACCAGAAAGGTGCGGGTCAGCTCTTGGGGGGGGGGGGAATCGAGCATTTTAAGTAGAAATACAAGTGAACGAAGTCCCCCCTTTGTGCCAAATAGTGGCAGAAAGAAACAGGCCGGCTCTTAAAGGGGAAGAATTGATCATTTTAAGCAGAAACATAAGAGGATGAAGTCTTTTTTCCATGCCAAGCAGTGCTATCAGAGACCTATATATCATAAGTATATGCCAGTACAGACAGACTCTCTCTGTGACATTAGAAAATGGATAGATCACGTATTTCAAAGAAGCCTGAGAAATACACTTTGCTCTCACAAGGTGGTGCTATATAACCATCTTCTATTTCTTTCTTTATATATTCCTTTGAGGCTCATAAAGTGTGATTATTAAAAAGACACCTGGCTTGGAAATTCCAGTCATTTATCTATTCCATTGTAAAACAGCTAAGTATCTGTTAATGCTGACTGAGTATTTTCCACTCTCCACCCTTTCTTCCATAAGTTCTTTACAGTGAGTCAACAGTCAACTTCTGGCAATCAGGCTTTACACAGTACTTTTCAAGAAGCCACATACCTCTGGCTAAGGCCTCGCATCACTCTGTACCTAGATGAGGCAAAATATTTCCTTTCCTAGACATTTGAAAATGAAGTCTACCAATGACCCAGCCATCTGTGAATTCCCAGATGTTGTATACATAAGTAAAATGCACCATGTGTTTTCCTACATCTTTTTTCGATATC